TTGCATACAAATTTTGGTTGAGATTGGCCCAGTAGGCTCGGAGGAGTTAGGGTGCAAACATACACACATTTCGTCTTTATATATATAGATCATCAAAGTAATAAATGTCAAGATCCACAATGTCAGCATAATAATTGACATCAGTAGTTTTATGCAAAGATGTCAATCAAGCCTGGTTGCAGTATGTAGCTATCAGTCCAATTGCATACAATATTTACGTCTCTATTTTCCATCCTTTCCCAACTGGACTTCTTATTGGATTGGCAGGTGACTCACAGACTTGCCGAAACATATGTGTAAAAGATTCAGCACTATAAGCTAGTGATGAAGAATAAAATTGAATTCATCACAAATAACTAAGAGAAATTATACTCATTACAAAGGGCATAATTTCAGAGAAATAACTGCTGTGATAACACCCAACAAACATTGGGATATCCTGTGTCTCCTATTATTTTATGGCCAGGTGGCTAGGGGTCACAATCTGCGGGTCGCGAGTTCGAATTCCCATCACACCAAACATGCTTGCCCTTTCAGCCGTGGGGGGCGTTATAATGTGACGGTCAATCCCACTATTCATTGGTAAAAGAGTAGCCCAAGAGTTGACGATGGGTGGTGATAACTAGCTGCCTTCCCTATAGTCTTACACTGCTAAATTAGGGACGGCTAGCGCAGATAGCCCTTTTGTAGCTTTGCGCGAAATTCAAAACAAACAACCAACCTATTATTTCCCCCTAGTTCCTCAGTGACAGGCTTACGACATTAAAAATCGAATTTCGATACTCTTGGTGGGCAGGGCACAGATAGCCCATTGTGTAGCTTTGCACTTAACAACAACCAAATAAAACGCAAGTGAAAAACTAGAGGTGCTTAAACCCACAATGTCTTAGGTTTTCACCGTCCACGGCCGATCGTGGGTGTGGTAGTACCCTTACGTTATAAACTTAACTTTATACAACCCTCTTATATATATAGTATGATAAGTATAATTAATAGAAATATTCAAATATCAAAGACACATTTGCACAGTAGTTCAACAAATCACAGTATTGTAACAATGGGCTTGAATTTATAGTTTATTTAATCACTAAAAATGGTAGTATGAGTGAAGACAAGCACGTTTGTAACTGGTGCTACTTTATTTACGTAAACAGACGAAGCTAAGCCTATCTCTAGTAACTTTCTGAATATGAAATAGCAGTAAACTAAGCTTATAATAATTTTTACAGCACTAAACGATTGCACGAAATTTAACAGACTCTATGAACTCTTGTCTTTGCTCTAAGTTTTGGTCACTGTTAGTCTTCTACCAGCTTGCTTATATAGCATAAGATAGCCCTAATTATCTTAATTAGGCATTACATATATATAGGTTAGAGCGAAGTTTAAGAAGATTCTCGACCGGTCTTAAAATCTAACAGCAGAGACCCACATAAAACTACGTCAAATTTTGAACATAAAACAAGGACTTTCTATAACACAAACTGTTTATATACGTTGAGTAAAAGTATATCTTTGGTCCAGTAACACAG